TTTTGTACACGGTTATTAAATCATTTCTCAACCTACGCTTTTTCAGAGAATCCAAGCATAGCATCTTATTTCTAATAATGGCGTGAGGAATACTGTTGTAGGAGTAACCAAGAGCCCTTATGAAAACCTTCCTGGTGAAACTGTTTTGAACGCGCTCAATGGTCTGAATGGCATTCTTCTTATAAGGAAAAAATACACACGTCCCATATTCCAAAATAGGTCTGACGTACATTTTGTAGGCCCTGATCAGAACGAGGGGATCCCTGCTTCTCAAAGTTGGAATGTATCTGATAGCACACGATTGCAAGGTCCTAGGAAAAATCAAATTTGTGATTCTCAAACTACCTCCGAATGACTTTAAAGATGGATACTGTGACTAGAATTCGTAAGAGGTGGGGTCCAGTCATAAAATTGTGGGCGCATATCGACTTGTTAATCAAGGAGCGGAAGAAACCGTCGAAATAGATGTGGCTCGACTGTGAGCGAGTATACCGTAAATAGGGACGCAGCGAGAAACCAGACAGGGCTGGAGCCTTGCAGCTGCACATGGAGGGCGTGGGGGGGGGGGAGGGACGGGAATCGGTAGCAACACCACGCAACATGAACATTTACGAAAATCAGTTTTTGAGGCCGGTGGGGTTCTGGCTGTTGCAAGCCCCAGCGCATTTGCACGCTTGCTCAATTAATGGGAGCACCGTAAGCGGCTGCACACTCGCAATTCTTTTACGAAAGAAGGGCCTATCTCTCAAATCACGCGGAGGGTTTTCCCATAGACGACCTGTGCACATTGTGATAAAGCATACGCGGGGAGCGCAAAGGTTTTTGGCGAATGGAATTATACATGACCATTTCCAAAGCGCTGTCATGAGCACTAACAGCACAACTAGTAGAGGACTTTATCTTGAAGCCGTAAGCTGATTTTTGACATAAAGGTAGGTCGAGCCTGTAACATCTCACCACGTTGCTTCATGTGGTAGCACAAAAAATAGTGTTGCCGCGAGCTGTCCAATGTTGACCCCTCCACCTCCAGTCCCATCTCCACCACCATTTTTAGTTGGAAATCTGAGTCCTTTTCCTGTAATTCATTCGTTTTATTCTCAGGAATGCAGATGAACGTGTTGAACTTCAGGTCCTCTGATGAACCTGTTCTTCTCTGCTGCAAAACATGGAATTTGTGTTGACGTAGTTTCGCTTGTTGAACCAAGTCCACTTCTTCAGCAAGCCGCTGACATAACAAATGGAATTTTCCTGCAAGTGGAGCGGCCGTCCAAACTCCTATCCAGCATGATGGTTAGTAAACATGTTGCTCATTTAGGTTTTTCGCTGGAGCTTCCGGAAGAATCAATTCACTGGTCCAACTAGTTAGCTAGCTGCTTTTTATTGGTATTGGCTTACATAGTTCAGCCATGACTCGTTAAAGTGACGTCCATGGAAGTGGGTCTTGTCCTTAGCTGGGGTATCACATTGCTGCTGTCCCTCCGCTCATGTCGCGGAGTTCCTATTTTTGGGGTTGATGTGCATCAAGCGTATCACCAAAGCTGGTCACTGTTTCAGTATTGAGCCCCCCGTTTTGCCTGATAGCCTCTGCAAACGGGCAGTGGTCCAGGTTCCAGTTGAACAAAAGGAAGTTGTGAAAGCGAAATTTCAATAGCCTGTGTTTGCCCTTTTTCTGAGAGCGAGGGAAGGGGAGGCGGGCGGTGGAAGGAATCACTTTAATTGTGCTCACTATTGGTAGCGAGTTTCTTCCCAGGATACTTGTGAAACGCCGTCCTTCCTTCTTTCCCTTCCTTTCTTTACTCTTCCCTCTCCCATTCCTTGTCCCTTCAACTGGTGGGCCAGTAGATGCGGTGAGAAAATACCTCTGGACTTTGACAGCGAGAGCATGGTAGGTGGACAGAAGCCCTGTAAACGCTGAGGCTGCGCTACTGTGTATTCTATTGCCTACGGTTGTCCGGTCTGTCGTCTGTGTCGCTGAGCGCCTCTGGGTCCTCATAAGAATTCTCTTCACCGCATGCTCGCCCAACGCTGAACGTCAGTCGGACCTTATTTGAGTGATATTGGGTTCTTTCTATTTTTCTTCTTTAGTGGTGAAATACAGTTCTCTTCTTCTTCTTCTTCCTAGTGTTAGTCCCATACCGTCGCAGGGTACGATGTTCTTGTTAGACGTCGCCACTTGTTCCGATCCACTGCATCTTCTGCCGTGGCTTTCACTTCAGTGAGGTCCTTCTTGATGACGTCCCTCCATCTTTTCTTTGGGGCTCCTCGTGGTCGCTTGCCCTCTACTTCGAATTCCAATGCCTTCCTTATTGGGTGGTCTTCAGGCCTCCTCAGTACGTGCCCATATCGCAGTCGCTGCTCTCGTGCCTTCAGCTGGATCGGAGCCGTCTGTGTGACCGCCCTGACGTCCTCGTTTCTGACTCTGTCGAGTCGTGTCCAGCCGCAGGCCCATCTCAGCATCCTCATTTCAGCTGAGTGGAGCTGCCTTTCATGGTTCTTGCAGATGGGCCAGCACTCACTGCCGTAGAGCATTGTAGGCCTTACCACCGCCCGGTACACCTTGCCCTGCCTTGTCCCGCCGAGCGTTCTCGAGCACCGCCGGTCGCACAGGATGCCAGTGGACTCCCTCCATTTCATCCAGGCTGCGTTGATTCGGGTCTTCACCGCCTGGTCCACGCTGCCATCAGCTGCTAGGTCGCTCCCCAGGTACTGGAAGTCCTCGACCCTTTCGATGCTCTCGCCATGGCAGTCTACGATGGGTTCGTTACACTCTTCGGAGCTCAGGAACTTGGTCTTCTTTACGTTCAGCCG